TTTTTCCCTTTTGGTATTCCAACTCCAGGTCTTTGCATATATCATTATAACATGTGACTCTGTCTTCTTGAGCTGACCTTTGAAATTTTCTGTTCAGCTTTTGTACCTCTTCATTTCTTCCATTTGCTTTAGCATCTCTATGCTAGAGAGCAAATTTCAGAGTCTCTTCGGATATCCATTTTGGTCTTACCTTTTTTTCATGTCTTTTTAATGACATTTGTTTTCTTCATGTATGATGTTCTTGATGTCATCCCATAACTTGTCTGGTCTTTAACCATTAGTGTTCAGCTAATGAAATCTGTTCTCAAGATGGTCTCTAAATTCATGTGGGATATCCTGAAGACCATATTTTGGCTCTTATGGACTTGTTTTAATTTTCTTCCGCTTCAGCCTGAGCTTGCATATGAGGAATTAATGATCTGTTCCACTGTGCCCACTCCCGCACTCCCCGACCTTGTTTTGGTTGATTATATGGAACTTTTTACCTCTTCATTTCTTTCATTTGCATTAGCATATCTATGCTGGAAAGCAAGTTTCAGAGTCTCTTTTGATAGCAGCTTTGGTCTTTTCCTTCTTTTTTGTCTTCTTAATGACCTTTTACTTTCTTTACTACATGATGTTCTTGATGTCATCCCACAACTCTTGAGGTCTTTGGTCATTATTGTATAATGCATTAAATATGTTCTTGAGATGATCTCTAAATTCAGATGGGATATGTTCAAGGTCCTATTTTAGTGCTCATGGACCTGTTTTAATTTTCTTCAGCTTCAACCTGAACTTGTCTATTAGCAATTGATGATCTGTTCCTCTGTCTCCCTCTGGCCTTGTTTTGACTGATGGATAATATGGAGCTTTTGCACCATCTCCTCCCACAAATGTAGTCAACTTGATTTCTGTGTATTCTATGTGGTGAGGTCCACGTGTATACCTTTTATATTTATATCTTCTTTTATATTGTTTTAACAAAGGCATTTGCAATGAAGAAGTCATTGGTCTTGCAAAATTCTTTCATGCAATCTCTGGCATAGTTTCTATCACCAAGATCATATTTTCCAATGACTAATCCTTCCTCTTTGTTTCCAATTTTTGCATTCCAATCACCAGTAACTATCAATACATCTTTATTGCATATTTGATCAATTTCAGACTGAAGAAGTTGGTAGAATTCTTCAATTTCATCTTCACTGGTCTTAGTAGTTGCTGTGTAAATTTGAATAACAGTGGTAATAACTGGTCTTCCTTGTAAGTGTATAAATATATTATCCTCAGATAGTGGCATACTTCACAACAGATCCTGATATATTGTTTTTGATAATGAATGTGGCACTATTTCTCTTCAATTTGTCATTCTCGGCATAGTAAGCCATGTGATTGTCAGATTCAAAATGGCTAATACTGGTTCATTTCAACTCACTAATGACTAGGATATCGATGTTTATGTGTTCCATTTCATTTTTGACAATTTCCAATTTTCCTAGATTGATACTTTGTACATTCTATGTTCCAATTATTAATGGATGTTTACAGCTGTTTCTCATCATTTTGAGTTGTGCCCCATGAACAGATGATGGTTCCAAAGGCTTTACTCCATTTGTGTCATCATGGTCAACTCTACTTTGAGGAGACAGCTCTTCCTCAGTCACATTTGAGTGCCTTGCAACCTATATCTGACAACAATCTGGTGCTCTCATCATGTTTCAATATGTAGTATTCTGGTACTGACAGTGTTCCTTTGTTATTCATACGGTTTTCAGTGACTAAATATTCAGACACAGTCCATCTGTCTTTCTTCCTAGTCTGTCTTCATATGGAAGCTGAGCTGTAACCAGTCCACAATGTGTGGCCCTGCTGGTATTTAAAATAGCCATGGCACAGTTCCAGAATCACAACAACACTCAGGCCACTACAGTATGACAAACTGACAGACAAGTGGTGGTGTTCTATACTATTCATTGGCACCACAAGGGTAGTGTTCTGTTTTACTCACTGGTGTTGCATGGGTGGTATTCTATATTACTCAACCATACAGTGTTAAAAGTATGAGAAGACTTCATAAAATTCATGGAAAAATGGAATTACGAAATAATGGAACTTTTCTAGAAATTTTTAGAATTTTCCTCAACCATTCATTTGAATTATTTGAAAATTAACAAAGCATTTTGAAATAATGAAAATACTGAACCCTCAGTTGTTTCTCAACTTTAATTTCATGACTCCTCATTCATTACTAAATATTTAATGTACATACTCTACATAACATAAACATGCGAAAGAACAGTTGTATCAGTACTTGTTTATTTTGCATGCAAGCCATGGTTTGTTAATAATGCAAATAAGTCGGAAGGTCTTTAGTTCACACACATACTGGAGCTAGAAAGCCAAAAATGAACAAAAAATTATGTGTAAACTCAATCTACATATTAATAACATAATACACATATGAAAGTAGGTCATCATGAAACTTAAATGTGAAGGATAAATAGAGAAAAATAAGACAGAACTGAAGTTATGTGTAATTCCAATAACCATGTTCTACTCTCAATTCACATATAGAATAAGATTGCAATTCCCTGGGACCATTCGGTTTTTTTCTTCTTAGGCAAATATAATTCACAATTAATTGAAGTACTGTAAAAATCAAGATAGAAATCACTTCTAAGAATGCAAATTATTTAAGAAGACGGCAATTGCTATACATCCCAAAAAAGAGTAGTTGAACTTTGCTAAATAAAAAAAAACAAATAACAAGCGAGGAGAACATCTACAAAACAAGTGTGTTAAAATCGGATTTGTTCTACAAATGACATCTAAGTCCTCTACTTCAATGTCAACAAATAAAAGGCATTTTCAAAAATTTCATAAGCTAATTCAACTACAACCACTAAGAAAAGCATCCTTTACTATTCTCTTTTTTATCCTAAATGAGTTTTGTTCTCCTCCCTGTACCTCCCCCAGTCTAGGACTTTGAGGGTCACCAAACGTTTCAACATACTTGTAGAAACCACTGAAGAGCCTCCTTACTGCCTAGTCAGGAGTACTAACGGTAGAAAGCTTAGTGATGTTGGAAATTGTAGGCTATCCTAAGTTTCAGTCAACTTGTCCTCAGTTGCAATGTTTCAGGTCATTGGCTAAAATGAGTCCTGGTGGTCATAAGGAGGATTCTTATTTAACTGAAGACAACAGAGAACTACTGGAAAATGGCTGCAAGTGCTTCAAACTTTATAGACTGAGACACTTTAGAGAAAAATGGAAAAAAACAACTTAAAGTGATTTTTGCAGATAAATGCCTCAGAAAACTGTCAACAGACATCTTATGATCAGAGAAAGATTAAAATGAAAATGAGCAACCCTGTTGGTGGAAATGGTACCAACAAAGCTGGGTCAGTAATCTGAGTATTTCTTTATGTGAGTATGATTTGACCCAAAGAAGCTGCAACATAGAATGAAATGTATAGATCAGAAAGTACAGATCAACTTAAGGGTCACAAGGATATAAGAAGTCCAGGAGCACAAGATCTGCCTCTTACCCTTTCTCTTCCTTTAAAAACAAATTAAAACGAAAGATCCAGCACATATGAGGAACAAAAAACCAAGAGATTCTTGAAAAGTGCTACTAAAACAATTCTAGTTATCAATAATATCCTTGAACAACTGGATTCACATTTTACACAAAAATCTGTTGTAATGGGTACCATCTATGTGTCTATCACAAAGATTGGGTTCTAAGGTGTTTTGATCAGGCCTCAGATGGCTGATCAATTCTCTATACATTATTTTCCTGGAGTTCTTTCTGTGCCAATGTCTAAAAAGAAAGCATATAATAATTATTTATGTGAATAAATATAAAAAAATCCTTAATAAAAGAATGACATAAAAATTTACTTAAATTTAGAACAAATCACAGCTCTAGGCATTTCCTAATTGTATTTTTGAGAGTTTTTCTAAAAAAATCATAAACATTAACATAAGTTACAGAAACGTTTTTAAACAAGAAAATATTTACAGAAAATAAACAGGAAACAAAATGTAATACATCAAATTAAAACTCTATGTTAAATCTATGTATATATTCTACTAAAATAGAGCATGACAAATACTGTATTCATTTTACAAACAACTAAAGTATGAGGCTAAAAGCAATTTAAACTGCTCCCACACAGTCTGAAAATAAGTTTCCGATAATTGAATCCGAACTTTTTGATATCATAAAAATCTGTAAGAAGAAAGTATTAGGATCAAATATAATAAAAGTATAATTATGCCTATCAAAAACAAAAAGCTTTTAAGCATTATGGTAGTTAAACTCCTTCAGTGCATGAATCCTCTAATAGCAGCACCAAGCAAGGCAATGTTGTGAGGTCACATTTCAACTTTTCTAACTTGTTTGAAACTGATCATATTCCCTTTGAATACATTTTAGTTTTTGTAGCATCTAACTCTCCAGAAATGCAAAACACTTCACAGATTTACACTCTGACTCGCTTTTAGTTTTTGTGGCTGTCTTGCTTTTTGTACATAATACAAATTCATGTGAAGGGCAAAACGCTAGGTCAGTGATATGTATACCAGTAACACCACACTTAACCGAAGGTAAAATAATGCTGAACTCAAGTAAAAAAAATGAATGATGACTTACCAACTCCAAAGCTTCTATTTCTGTTTGGAGGGCTTCATAAATACTTTCCATGTCGTCTTCCTCGTAAAGTTTGAGCTCTTTTTTAAGTCTGTTTTCAAAGAAAAATTCACCCTATCAGTTTAGCAGAAAGCTGTTTTATATTTTCATTACATGGAGAATGCCAAGTCTGCAACATCCATAATCAGAATTTTGAGTTTATTTTTAACTTAAAATAATATGACAATAAATTTTAATTCCTTATCATTCTAGACTATATAAAAATTAGAGAGTAACTCTCATAAAAATAAGCTCACCTAAATATCTAAGAAATATAATCATTTTAGGGCCATTAAAAGCGTAACATACATAAATGGGAGTAAGCCCTACAGGATGAAAAATTTGATTCTTCAGCAAATAAACTGCAAGTTAAAAAAGATGGTAGTGTGAAAGGGCGGGAGGGGGGTTAGACTTCTTCCATCTTAAAAAGGATTTAAAAGATACATCAGCCAATTGTTAAGTGCTGAATTTTCCTGGAGCCTAATTCAGCTAAACAAACGGCATAAAAATAAGACATTTTTGTTGTTGTTGTTCTGTGCTGGTGAATCAGTTCCGATTCATGGAGACCCTATACAGGATTTCTGAGAGTGACTGGTGGGTTTGAACCACCAACCTTGCAGTTAGTAGGCTAGTTCTGTAGTACCACACCAGAGCCCATGACATTTATAAGTAATTGGAAATCTGAACACTTGTATTTGATGGTATGAGTCCATTGCTGTTAGTTATGTCAGTGTTACAACTGTCCTGGGGTTATATTTTTTACAGTTCTTAATTTATAGAGACTGAATAAAATAATGATATGATGTCTGTTACTTGCTTCAAAGGCACGCAGGGAGGGAGGGTGAGTGGAGATACAGATGAACGAAGATTAGTCATGAGTTGATAACTCAAAGTTGGAGAATAGGGCAAACATTAATAAGTCAGAAAATACAAATTCTGGAAAAGGATGAAGACCACTGGAAATGTTTATAATGTGCTAATAGGAGCATACAAATGTACTCCCATTAGCACACTGTAAACATTTCCAGTGGTCTTCATCCTTTTCCAGATTTTGTATTTTCTGACTTATTAATGCTTGTCTTATTCCCCAACTTTGTTGTTGTTGTTGCTGTGTGCCATGGAGTTGGTTCCGACTCATAGCGACCCTGTACAGGGTTTCCGAGGGTGTAAATCTTTACAGGAGCAGAAAGCCTCATCTTTCTCCCGCGGAACAGCTGGTAGTTTCGAACTGCTGACCTTGCAGCTCGCAGCACGATTCGTAACCACTACACTACCAGAGCTTCTTATTCCCCAACTTTAAGAGTTATCAATTCATGACTAATCGTCATCCATCCCCACTCACTCTCCCTTCTAATGCGTGTATGGAGTCCTAGTGTAATGCCATAAGATAAGCACTTGACCTCAGGGTTGGTTTGAACCTCAAGGCTGGTGGTTCAAACCTCCCAGCTGCTCCTCAGAAATCCTATATTGGGTCACTGAGTCAGAACCGACTGGACAGCACTTAACAACAACAATGGAAGTATGAATTGGTTTAATCGTTTCGGGAAGCAACTCGATATTATATCTTGTAAAGTTCAACATTCAAACACACTCAGAACCAACAATTCCAATAGGTATACATTCAAATGAAATTCTTACACATGGGCATCATAATGTTCACAGCAGCACTGCTTCTGATTGCAGAAATGTGGAATTCATTTAAAAGTCCATCAAAAACAGAAAGAAAAAAACAAAGCACAACCAATAACTGGTATATTTAAACATTTTGACTCAACAACATGGGTGAGTCTAAGAAACTATGTTGAATAATAAAAAATAAAAACCCCAACAGAATGAAACAATTTTTATATAACACAACTAAGTAAAAACAACGAATAGGTTGTTTGAGCGTGTATATATATGCTAAATGTATCATCTACAAATATATTACATAAATTTAAATAATCTATTTTAATGAAATTATTCATAAGTACTAATGAATGAATGAAGTCATTTCATACACATAGACACAAAAATGGAATACAGAGTGGGACAGTAATTATAATTAGGTTAGGGAAGAGATTATGGGATAAGGGAGGAGCTCATAAGTAATGTAAGTTAATGTTCTAGTTTAGTTCACAGGTGTTCATTATACTTTAGATTTAAAGGAGTGAGGAACATCTGGCCCATGAAATCATTCTGGCCCTGACAAGGCAACCACAGTTCCAGCTATCACATTGGTGGTGGTGTGCCATCAAGTCGGTTCCTACTCATAGCGACCCTATGAGTAAGGTGTTCTGAGGCTGTAATTCTTTATGGGAGCAGAAGCCTCATCTTTCTCCCATGCAGCATGGTTGGTAGATTTGAACTGCTGACCTTGAGGATAGCAGCCAACCCATAACTATTATGCTACCATTGTCATTGTGTGCCGTCGAGTTGGCTCCGACTCAGAGAGTCCCTGTATAGAGTTGTCAAGGAGCCGACCTTGTGGTTCAACCCAAACTTGCAGCCCAGCACAGTAACCCACAGTGTCACACTGTTAAGGGTAAGTTAATTAAATGATTGATCAAATACAGCAGGCTAATTTTAAGTTGATAATTTTGTAAGGCCCATGAATAATGTTATAAATTTTGGCAGAAAAAACATTCCCCACCCCTGCCTTAGAATATATACAGAGGTTATATATATTGTTTTAAGAACCTGCTCTTGTTGTTGTTGTTAGGTGCCATGGAGTTGGCACCAACTCATAGTGACCTTATGCACAACAGAACAAAACACTGCCCAGTCCTGGGCCAAACTCACCTGAGCCCATTTCTGCTGCTGTGCCAATCCATCTCATTGGGGCGTTTCCTCCTTTTCTCTGGACCTCCACTTTACCAAACATGACATCCTTCTTCTGGTCCGTTCTGACAATATGTGCTAAGTCTGGCCATCCTAGCTTCCAAGGAGCACACTGGCTGTACTTCTTCCAACACAGATTGGTTTGTTCTTTTGGTAGTCCACGGTACTTTTAACATTCTCCTCTAACACCGTAACGCAAATGAGTCAGTTGTTATATGGTCTTCCTTATTCACTGTTCAATATTCACATGCGTATAAGGTTATTAAAAGTACTATGGATTGGGTCAGGCACACCCTAGTCCTCAAACTGACAACTTTCCTCTTCAACACTTTAAAGAGGTCTTGTACAGTAGATTTGCCTAATGCAACACGTCGTTTGATTTCTTGACTGCTGCTTCCATGAGTGTTGATGGTTGATGTGAGCAAAAAGAAGTCTTTGACAACTTCAAATATTTCTCCACCTACATGGATGTTATTTATTGCTCCACTGGGGAGGATTTTTGTTTTCTTTATATTGAGGTGCAACCCATATGAAAGGCTGTGGTCTTTGATCTTTATCAATAAGTATTTTAAGTTCTCTTAACATTCAGTAAGCAAGGTTGGCATATCACAGATTGTTAATGAGTCTTCCTTCAATTCTGATGCCACATTTTTCTTCATGTAATCCAGTTCTCAGATTATTTATTCAGCATACAGATTGAGTAAATAAAGTGAAAGAATATAACACTGCACAACTATAAAGGTGGACGTTTTGTAACAAAAATGGAGCAGTTAGTCTTACAGTCCAGAAACAGAGGACCCTAGGACCATCAAGAGAGAAGAGCACAAGCAGAGTGCGGGACCGTATCCAGAGAAGCAGCAACACCAGAGATGGAGACAGAGATGAATGCATGGAGAGAGGGAGCAGCTGAGGACTCTGGACTCATGGGAAGAGAGGGACTGGGTACTGGCAGCCAGGAGACAGGCTTGCAGAATATGCCCTTTGTTTGTTTAAATTATTATATATTCCTGAGTGTTTCTGTGTACACCCCCACCCCCCACACACACAAAATAAAAAACAAAACAGGGAATGGAAGCAAATACTGTTAAATGATGATGCACAGAGGAGATTGTAATCATTGCAATGAAATGATGGTGTAAAACCAATGTTCTCCCATGTAGACTATCTCAGGTCACAATAAAAACTTACAGAAAGAAGAAAGAAAGAAAGAAAAGAATACAACCCTAGCACACACCTTTGCTCATTTGAAACCATTCATTGCTTCCTTGTTCTTTTCAAACAACTGTTTCTTGGTCTAAGTGCAGGTTCCTCAAGAGCACAATTAAGTGCTCCAGAATACTCACTCTACACAATGTTGTCTATAGCTTGTCATGATCCACACAACTGAAAGCTTTGGTGTAGTCAATAAAGCACCGGCAAACATCTTTCTGGTATTCTCTGCTTTCAGTCAATGATGTCAGCAATGATGTCCCTTGTTCCACATCTTCTTCTGAATCCAGCTTGAACTTCTGGAAGTTCTCTGTCAATGTACGGTTGCAGCCATTTTTGGATTACCTAGTAAAACTTTACTAGCATGGGCTATCAATGATTTCTGCATTCCGTTCAGTCACCTCTCTTTGAAATGGGCACAAATACAGATCTCTTCCAGGCAGTTGGACAAGTAGTTGTCTTCAGAATTTCTTGGCATAGATAATTGAGTGCCTCCAATGCCACATCTGTTTGTTGAAACACTTCAATTTCGATTCCATCAATTCCTAGTGCCTTATTCTTTGCCGATACCTTCACTGCACCCTGCACTTCTTCCTTCAAAACCATCAATTCTTGAGCATATGTTACCTCTTGAAATGGTTGATCATTGACCATTTCTTTTTGGTACCGTGACTCTGTAATTCATTCTATCTTGTTTTGATGCTTTCTGCATCATTCAATATTTTGCTTATGGTATTAGTCATAGTCGTTATGTGCCGTGGAGTCGGGTCCAACCATAGCAACCCTCCATAGGGTTTCCAAGGCTGTAAATCTTTACGGGAGCAGAAAACCTCATCTTTCTCCTGCAGAATAGGTGGTAGTTTTGAACTGCTGACCTTGAGATTAACAGCCCAACTTGTAATCACTATGCTACCAGAGCTCCTTTAGAAGCCTTCAATACCGTTAAGTCAAGGCTTGGATTTTTTTCTTCATTTCCCTCAATTTGAGAAATACTGAGTGTGTTCTTCCCTTTTGGTTTTCTAACACCAGTTCTTTGCACATTTCATTACAATATTTGACTTTGTCTTCTCAAGCTGACCTTTGAAAGTTTCTGTTCAGATTTTTTTTTTTACCTTTTTACCTTCTCACTTCTTCCATTTGCTTTAGCATCTCTGTTCTGGAGAGCAAATTTCAGAGTTTCTTCTGGCATCCATTTTGGTCTTTCCTTTTCTCTTGTCTTCTTAATGACCTTTTGCTTTCTTCCTATATGATGTTCGTGATGTCATCCCACAATTCTTCTGGTCCTTGGTATTTAGTGTCTAATGCATAAAATCTGTTCTTCAGATGATTTCAAAATTGAGGTGGGATATATCCGAGGTCATATTTTTGCTCTCTTGGCCTTGGCTTAATTTTCTTCAGCTTCAGTCTGAATTTGCGTATGAATAATTGATGGTCTGTTCCACAGTCTCTCCCTGCCCTTGTTTTGGCTGATGATATGGAGCTTTTCCAAGGAGCTCTGGTAGCGTAGTGGTTACGAATCAGCCGCAAGGTCAGCAGTTCAAAACTACCAGCTGTTCCGTGGGAGAAAGATGAGGCTTTCTGCTCCCGTAAAGATTTACAGCCTCAGAAACCCTATACAGGGTCGCTATGAGTCGGAACTGACTCCACAGCACATAACAACAACAACATGGAGCTTTTCCACCATCTTTTTCTACCGTCAATTTCATCTGTCTATGCCATCTGATTAAGTTCATGTGTTTAGTCATCTTTTATGTTGTTTAAAAAAGGTATTTGCAATGAAGAAATCATTGGTCTTGCAAAATTCTATTAGGCAATCTCCAGCATTTCTATCATCAAGGCCATATTTTCCAACTACTAATCCTTCCTCTTTGTTTCCAATGTTTGGATTCCAATCACTAGTAATTATCAATACCTCTTGATTGTATGCTTGATCAATTTCAGACTGAAGAAGTTGTAAGAATTTTTCAATTTCATCATCATCGGCTTTAGTGGTTGGTGCATAAATTTGAATTAGAGTGGTAGTAACTATCGTCCTTGTATGTGGA